CCAGCCCATAGTTTATCCTTATTTGGCCTCCAGAACTACTCTCATTTAATAATGAATAGCTTGCCTAATAACAATTCTGTATTAACAGGAATCTCTTGAATGTGAAAACGCTCAGATGGTCAGAGTTTCATAATAAATACAAGAGGCTAGCCAATCTCTGTTGAAATGAGCATCACATGAAATGACAGAAGCAACCCAGCAATGGGAGAGATTCAAATTTCCATATAGGAACTGACTACGTTATGCACCGAGAATCAGGATACCAAGAAACCAAACACTGTTTAATGGAGTTGAGTTTCAAACCTCATAAATGAAATTGCTTAAGACTGCATCAAAATTCTTATTTCTAAAAAAAAAAAGAGAATAATTATTTGATTGCACAAAAGATATTATGGACAAAAGGCACGGAGTTCTTCAAAAATTATAAACAATTACAAACAAAATAAAGCACAGAGTAGCCAACCATTTTCATAAAAAACAGCATAGAATGCTACCAAACACCACTATTTTACCATGCAAAATTCAAATTCTGAAAAAATTTATGCAGCGTTATTTTGACCTCAAGTAAAAATGAAAACCCATGTGTTACTTGCATAAGATCAAAGGAGATAAGTAAAGCCTAAGATCACACGGCATATATATTTTATATAACCAGTTCCACTATCTTTCTCTAAATAAGCTCCACAAGCAAGCACAGGCAAGTTGATGATCAGTTATTTTCTTATACAAAACAAACAAGGAATATTGTCATAAGAAAAACATTATTTTCTGAAAAACCAATTGAAATCGAATACATACACACACTTTGCGAGATTACTTTACAGAAAACATATTTGTCTATTGTATTTTACAAAAGATCTAATTTACTTATTCCTTGTGATCTCTGTACGTGAATAGCTTATAATTCTTTATCTTAACATCCAAAATAAACTTCACATAGGTATTTCATATCCAACTTCACAAATGGCATAACATCATCACATTATCTTACATAAAATTCACCATCACCTTTATCTTAAGGCAAGGCCTAAACCAAGCTCAACCTCTCATTTACAGATATTGATTTCAAAACCGAATAATCTCATTTCATAGACTTTAAGCTAATTTCTTATAAAAAGGATATAGAATTTTACAAAGACCCAATAAGCATAAATATTTTGAACACAAAACTTTTCATAAAGTTTCAAAGTTAACAAGGACTTCAAATAATTTTATTTTACGGTTATTAATCTAGCCAGATGTTTATGATTGATGTCTGTTATCATAAATTGCATAAACTATTTTCCTTAATTGTAGGGCAAGAAATTTTAAAATTGCTAATAGACATCTAAAACCACTATAAAAAAAATCACAGGTTTTTCAAAAGTTTAAACTTGTCAAAAGGTTTAGTAAAAATGACATTATGTGAAAACAAAACTTTAGATCTCAAACAACAACATGAAAAATACACTGAAAATCACATTGAGTTTCTGGGCAAAACAAATTTAAAAACAATCCTTGAGATGCCTAATATGTGTATAAAAAGATGAGCATCAAAACAAGAGGCAAACTTATGATACAATTTTCAAAAAAACATCTACTACACTGTAAAATCTTAGTTTTCCTTACAATAAAATCTTAATAATCAATTTCTTCTTCAAAAATCACAATCAAACAATACTCTTTTGTTTTTGGTGTTACACCTAACATTACCATGCCTGAAATTAGAGAAGATTCAACTACATTAATTTTGAAGAGGTGTTGAAGAAGAATATTAATGCCTATTTCTTACACAAACTGACATGAGTTACTTAAAATTCTATGTCAGCTCGTTGAATTTTATCTTTTAAAACCCCAAATTCAAGTCAAATACAAACTGATATCAGATACTTAAAATTCTATGTTGCTCTAGTATCAACATGCTTGGTGAACTCTATCTTCGAAAACCCCAAATTCAAGTAAAATACAATGCCACCCTGCTTACTCCAAAAAAAACCACAGTTAAATAGGATTACAAGAAAGTCTTGGTTTCAAACTCCAATTCCAGGATTAATACATAGATGAGTTGGAGTTTTTGAGTCCTGAAAACACCCATAACTGCCACTTAAATTCCAAGATTTCGTTATTTACGAAGAAAAACTTTAAAGTCAAACACAGTAATGTTAAGAGAGCGCAATCCATATGTTTATTGTATTGTTGACATCTCAAAATGATAACCAAATAAAATATTGATAATTCCATAAACCGTTTCAATTCAAAGATTTCATCAGGCAAATGACACAAACATAGCAGAAATTATGGGCAATGAAGCAATAGAAGCGTAAGTTTAAGACCCAAAGCGAAGAAGAATGAAACATACCGTAAATGCTCTTCCGTAACAAATGGGGTTAAGATAGGAGATGATTTCCACCACCAGAAGATTTGAAGAAAAACGTTTTAATAAGTGAAGCCCTCCCGATAAAATAAAATAATTTCAAATAATCCCCAACATAAATGCATCATTTGCAAAATACCCCACTTGAGACCTCTTCTCGCAAAATATTTTATTTTTTTATTTATATTATTAACTTTGTTTAGAAAAAAAATCATTAAATACATCTTGTGATTTTTAAAAGTAATCTCATTCTCATGCAAAGCTTAATTGAAAGAAAAATAGAATAAAGTCCCCACAAAACAAAAAAATAAAATAATAATGTCAAGAGTTGATAAGAGAAACTACTTTGATTTGATTTATTTTACAAATTTTGTATTTTATTTTTTCAATTAATCAAATATTATGTACTAGGTAGTAATTTAGTTTTTATATTATATAAACTAATAATGAGAACACTTAGACAAGTGAAAGAAAGTATTTGCGTAGTTACATGTAAACCTCACTTTTACTTCCAATTATATTTAAATATCGCTTTGACTAAAATCCCCTGTTTTAAGGAATTTGAAATATGGTAAATTAAAACAATGATATGCCTAAAAATTAGGGCTATTCAAAAGAACCGGTTGAAACCGGAATTGACGGATACCCTGAGTTTGGTTCTGGTTCTGGTTCCTACCCAGAACCAGTCGTTAATTGGTAGGTTCCAGTTCCAAATTTTTGGAACCGTTACGGTGTGGTGATAATCATATTTTACACTATGATTTTGCATTGAATTTTGATAAGATTTAGGATACTTTTCATACAATTTGGGCCATAATTGCTACCTAATTCTACTAATTTGTCTTTGCAGGCCTAAACGATGATTTTTAGCATAACTGATAGTTTTGAGCGTAAATTGTGTAACTTGAGCTTGGAAACTCGGAATGACCTGAATTTAGAAGCTTTGGAAAGCTAAGAAGAAGAGCTACAACTTTAATGTTTTGGATTTTTCCTAATTCTGACTGGAAAATGGTGAAAACTTGGCTTGAAGTCGTGAAAAGTACGATGGGAACTAAAGAAAAAAAAACATCTTTGCACGTGCTTCAGTATTTCTACCATAACTTGAGCTGTAGACCTCGGATTGTGCTGATTCTTAAATGAACAGAATTTAAAGGGCTATAATTTATATGTTTAACACTTTTCCAGATTCAGACTCTATCAGGCTCAAATTTGGCCCGAACGTCTTCGCTGCGGCGAGGAAAAAACTTCACTGCAGCAAAACCTGCATCAGCTGTAAAAATAAAACGACGCGTTTTGGCTTGCTAGGGCTTGGTCCTTAAGTGAAAGAGATATCATCCATTTCATAGACTTTAAGCTAAATTCCTTTATCAAAAGGACTTAGAATTTACAAAGACACAATAAGCATAAATATTTTGAACCACAAACTTTTCATAAAGTTTCAAAGTTAACAAGGACTTCAAATAATTTTATTTTACGGTTATTAATCTAGCCAGATAATGTTTGATGAGTCGTTATCATAAATTGCATAACTATTTTCCCTTAAATTGTAGGGCAAGAATTTAAAAATTGCTAATAGACATCCTAAAACCACTATAACAAAAATCACAGGTTTTTCAAAAGTTTAAACTTGTCAAAATGGTTTAGTAAAAATGACATTATGTGAAAACAAAACTTTTAGATCTCAAACACAACATGAAAAATACACTGAAAATCACATTGAGTTTCTGGGCAAAACAAATTTAAAAACATCCTTGAGATGCCTAATATGATGATAAAAAGATGAGCATCAAAACAAGAGGCAAACTTATGATACAATTTTCAAAAATCATCTACTACACATCGTAAAATCTAGTTTTCCTTACAATAAATCTTATAAATCAATCTCTTTTCTAAAAATCAAAATCAAACAATACTCTTTTGTTTTGTGTGTACACCTAACATTACCCATGCCTGAAATTAGAGAAGATTCAACTACATTAATTTTGAGAGGTGTTGAAGAAGAATATAAATGCCTATTTCTTACCCAAACTGTTAAAATGATTCTTTAAATAGAAATATAATTTTCATTACTTGTAATATTTTTAATATGTATTACAATAAATTTTACCAATACAAAATTTATAAGAAAATTGAAAAATATATTTTAATGTTTAGCGTCAATTCAGATGTCCACAAAAACAAGAAAGTATCACACATGAATTAATGAACAATTCAACAATCACATAGACGGTGGATTGTTTTGAGAACAGTATGCTTTATTCTGAGATGTTACATCAAAGATATAAATATTATCTGATCAGATTATGGAAGAATGTTGACCTTATATTATATTGCAGCCTTGCTTATTATAATCATACCACGTTTAAATGCTTCTGGGCCTCATTTTTTCAGGCATGAATGGCGAAGGAAGGACCCTTTATGGTGGGTTAAAAAGAGAAACTAAAACACCCATTTTTCATTATCATTACTCATGGCTTTGATCAAGTCAAATTTGAATTATGACATTAAATACTCTTCTTCTCCAGCATTTCTTTCAGAAGTTATAGCAAATGAAAGCTGTAATCACATAAATATTGCATTCTTTGTCAAAACTGATTTATTGGAATTTGAATCTTCAAAGATGAAGTGCAGATTGAAGAAAGTTGGGGAAGATTGAACTAGAAAATTTTACATATCACAGAAAGAAAAGGGGAAAACAAAGTCAATATCCTTCTGGATCATCTGTTTATAAAGCTTATTGACAATAAAAATCAACTGAAAGCCATCTTTTCAGTTCACTAAAAGATATAATTTCCAGTACATAAATGGAAAGAGAACCTCCATTTTCAGAAAATCCCATTAAAACCCAACATGAGACTCTAAGATGATTTCATATATTGCCTTTAAATCATCAATGTCAACATTATCCACAGTCTGCTGGTGTATATCTCTCCGCTATATATAATTGACATCTTTTAACATAGTTAACAAGAGAATCGCCCAGCTTCATCTCTCCAATTACCGTTCACTTTCCTCCTTACATATAAGTCATAAATTATAAGATTATCTACTTGAACAAATGGGCTAGATCAGGATCATCCAAGTTCACCTCCAACCATCCATTTAACTGCATGTACTCGATATAATGATCAGGTGGCTTCACTGCACGAGGGTTTTTCAGGGTGAATCCATGAATCCTCTCGACATCACGGGTGAGCCATCGGACATAAGCACGATCCACTGGAGGCACTATTTTCAAGAAAACTTCTTTCCTTTCTTGCTTCACAGCCACAGGCTTGTTTCCCATGCCACCTGGCCAGTTTCAAAAACAGAAGCAGTGAGCTAAAACATCTTCCAATCACTTCAACAACAATAAAAGCTACAGATAATCATATTGCTATATGATGAACAGACTTTATTTCCAGCCCATAGTTTATCCTTATTTTGGCCTCCAGAAACTACTCTCATTTAATAATGAATAGCTTGCCTAATAACAATTCTGTATTAACAGGAATCTCTTGAATCGTGAAACATGCTCAGATGGTCAGAGTTTCATAATAAATACAAGAGGCTACTAGCCAATCTCTGTTGAAATGAGCATCACATGAAATGACAGTAAGCAACCCAGCAATGGCAGAGATTCAAATTTCCATATAGGAACTTGACTACGTTATGCACCGAGAATCAGGATATCCATGAAAACCAAACACTGTTTAATGGAGTTGAGTTTCAAACCTCATAAATGAAATTTGCTTAAGACTGCATCAAAAATTCTTATTTCTAAAAAAAAAGAAGAATAATTATTTGATTGCACAAAAGATATTATGGACAAAAGGCACAGAGATTCTTCAAAAATTATTAAACAATTACAAACAAAATAAAGCACAGAGTAGCCAACCATTTTCATAATAAACAGCATAAGAATGCTACCAAACACCACTATTTTACCATGCAAAATTCAAATTCTGAAAAATATTATGCAGCGTTTATCTTTTGACCTCAAGTAAAGAATGAAAACCCATGTGTTACTTGCATAAGATCATAAGGAGATAAGTAAAGCCATAAGATCACACTAGGCATATATATTTATAATAACCAGTTCCACATATCTTTCTCTTAAATAAGCTCCACAAGCAAGCACAAGAGCATATTGATTGATCAGTCATATTTTCTTATACAAAACACATCAAGGAATATTCGTCATAAGAACACATTATTTTCTGAAAAACAAATTGAAATCGAATCGTACAACACACTTTGCGAGATTACTTTACAGAAAACATATTTGTCTATTGTAATTTTACAAAAGATCTAATTTACTTATCTCCTTGTGATCTCATGTACGTGATATAGCTTATTAATTCTTTAATCTTAACATCCAAAATAAACTTCACATAGGTATTTTCATATCCAACTTCACAAATGCCGCATAACACTCATCACATTCATCTTACATAACATTCACCATCACCTTTATCTTAAGGCAAGGCCTAAACCAAGCTCAACCTCACGTTTACAGATATTGATTTCAAAACCGAATAATCTCATTTCATAGACTTTAAGCTAATTATCCTTTTATCAAAAGGACTTAGAATTTTACAAAGACACAATAAGCATAAATATTTTGAACCACAAAACTTTTCATAAAGTTTCAAAGTTAACAAGGACTTCAAATAATTTTTATTTTACAGGTTATTAATCTAGCCAGATAATGTTTATGATTGACGTCTGTTATCATCAAATTGCATAACTATTTTCCCTTAAATTGTAGGGCAAGAAAATTTAAAAATTGCTAATAGACATCCGTAAAACCACTATAACAAAAATCACAGGTTTTTCAAAAGTTTAAACTTGTCAAAATGGTTTAGTAAAAATGACATTATGTGAAAACAAAACTGTTAGATCTCAAACACAACATGAAAAATACACTGAAAATCACATTGAGTTTCTGGGCAAAACAAATTTAAAAAAACATTTCCTTGAGATGCCTAATATGATGTATAAAAGATGAGCATCAAAACAAGAGGCAAACTTATGATACATTTTCAAAAAATCATCTCCTACACACCTGTAAAATCTTAGTTTTCCTTACATAAAATCTTAATAATCAATTCTTATTCTAAAAATCACAATCAAACAATACTCTTTTGTTTTTGTGTTTACACCTAACATCACCCATGCCTGAACTTAGAGAAGATTCAACTACCATTATTTTGAAGAGTGTTGAGAAGAATATTAAATGCCTATTTCTTACACAAAATGATATGAGTTTACTTAAAATTCTATGTCGCACGTTGAATTCTATCTTTTAAAACCCCAAATTCAAGTCAAATACAAACTGATATCAGTTACTTAATTCTACGTTGCTCTAGTATCAACATGCTTGGTGAACTCTATCTTCGAAAACCCCAAATTCAGTAAAATACAATGCCACCCTGCTTACTCCAAAAACCACAGTTAAATAGGATTAACAGAAAGTCTTGGTTTCAAACTCCAATTCCAGGATTAATACAAGATGAGTTGGAGTTTTTGAGTCCTGAAACACCCATACCTGCCACTTAAATTCCAAGATTTCGTATTTACGAAGAAAAACTTTAAAGTCAAACACAGTATGTTAAGAGAGCGCAATCCATATGTTTATTGTATTGTTGACATCTCAAATGATAACCAAATAAAATATTGATAATTCCATAAACCGTTTCATTCAAAGATTTCATCAGGCAAATGACACAAACATAGCAGAAATTATGGGCTGAAGCAATAAAGCGTAGTTTAAGACCCAAAGCGAAGAAGAATGAAACATACCGTAAATGCTCTTCCGTAACAAATGGGGTTAAGATAGGAGATGATTTCCACCACAGAAGATTTGAAGAAAAACGTTTTAATAAGTGAAGCCCTCCCGATAAAATAAAATAATTTCAAATAATCCCAACATAAATGCATCATTTGCAAAATACCCCACTTGAGGCCTCTTCTCGCCAAATATTTTATTTTTTTTCTTTATATTATTAACTTTGTTTAGAAAAAAAATCATTAAATACATCTTGTGATTTTTAAAAGTAATCTCATTCTCATGCAAAGCTTAATTGAAAGAAAAATAGAATAAACCCCACAAACAAAAAATAAAATAATAATGTCAAGAGTTGATAAGAAAACTACTTTGATTTGATTTATTTTACAAATTTTGTATTTATTTTTTCAATTAATCAATATTATGTACTAGGTAGTAATTTAGTTTTTATATTATATAAACTAATAATGAGAACACTTAGACAAGTGAAAGAAAGTATTTGCGTAGTTACATGTAAACCTCACTTTACTTCCAATTATATTAAATATCGCTTTGACTAAAATCCCCTGTTTAAGGAATTTGAAATATGGTAAATTAAAACAATGATATGCCTAAAAATCCAACATTGCACAAGAAATTTTCTGGCTACAAGTAGCTGAAATTGGCTTGTTGAGCTTACTGACAAATGTAAAAAATCACATCCTTCATTTAAATCTGAAACGAAATGCCCCAATGGACACTTCGCGTAGCTTAAATTGCAGAGGATTCACCCAAAACAATAACTGAAGAAAACAGCATAAAATATAACAAACACCTTATTAGATACAAGAAAACACAGCAACATTAATGTGATCAGTTACTGACTTTGTTGCCAATAACATTACCATGTAACTCCAAACCTCACCTCACCATACATTTTTGAAGCTATTCTGTAAGAAGGATACATTATATGTGATTATCCCATTCCCATGTAAACCACATTATCATAACAAATTCTACTTATATGTTAACCAGGCATCTCAAACAAACAGAATTGACATGCAATTTTTTTTTTTTTTTTTTTTTTTTTAATAGAAATGAAATAACATGTTCAGAGACAACATCTACATGTCTCACCACAAATAACTAATTCATATATCATTTCAAACAACTCATGCATCTTGAACCCAGATCCTCACTGTTCTATCACCATCAAGGCCGGCAGAAGCAATTTTGTTTTCAGTGGGGTGACAGGTTACAGAAATCACTGTGTCAGTGTGGCCTTCAAGCTTTTGAAGCATAGTTTTTTGCTGCAGATCCCATAAGTAAACACACTTGTCCTCTGATCCACTAACAATATACTTCCCGTTTGTTACAGAGAACGTGGATGTTATACAATAAGCTCTGTTTGTATGACCTGTATAGACTTTCAAGAACTTACCCGCTGAGTAATTCCACAGCTTCTGCACTCAACAAATAAAGGGAAAATATCAGAAAGAAAAACTATGCATGAACTCATAAAATCATTACGCCTTCAAACCCTGCTTATAATGCTCCACACATAACTGATAATAATAATAATAATAAAATTAAAAAAAAAGCTATAGACAATTTGAATTTTATGCTTATCAGAGAAGTAATAGACTTGCTTGATCTAAAACTTTTATTAATATTAAATTTTCACAACTTTAAAAATAAAATTTCAGTTTTGAAATATGATAACAATAGAACTTACAAGAGTGCTGTCGAGAGTGCCAACAAGAATGAACTTCCCATTGGGAGAAAATTTAGCAAAGGACACAGCAGGATCCTTATCATCAATAAGCGTCTTCAAGCATGTGCCTTCCCCTGCATCCCAAATCTTACAAGATCCATCATGACTCCCAGTCACGATCAGTGAACCATCCCTGTTAAAATGCACAGAAGTAACAGGCATTGCATGAGCCTGAATCATGCGCATACATTTCCCTGTCTTCACCTCCCAAACACGAATTGTTTCATCAAATGATCCTGATACGATCAGATTAGACTGAGGATTAAAATTCACACAGAAGACAAAGTCCGAGTGCCCACGAAGAGTCTTTAGGCAGTCAAAGGGGGCACGTGCATCCCAGATGCGTAGGGTGCGATCATCAGAAGCTGAGCAGATGTAGTGAGAATCAGAAGACCATGCAAGGTCCGATATGCCGTCGGAGTGACCAACAAGGCAGTGGATAAGGGAGAGTGTCGAGGCCGACCATATTATCAATGTTTTATCAAGAGAGGCAGAGGCAAGCAGGGTTCCATCATTGGAGAATTTCACGCACGAAACAGCACGACTGTGAGCCGTTAGGGTTTTTAAATGGCGGTAGGGTCTGTACGCTGGGGTAGCACTGGACATTGATTGTTACTAACTGGCAATTAATTGAGGAGCAAGACTCAATTAATCAGTTAATCTGTTACAAACCATGAGCAGAATCATGTCGGTCAATCAATCTCACCACACAAAGCTATTGTGTTTGATCTCAGATCTGCAGGGCAACAAACTATTTTAAATACATGTGTGAGATATTTAGAGCAAGTCTGATATAGTTTCTACATGAAAATAGGAAATTAATTCAATAAAGACATAACTTTCAAGAAAACTTATTTCCCTCCTGGATTCACAGACATGCCTCCTAATGGAACAGTTCAAAAACAAAAGCACTCAACTAAAATATATCCCAATCAGTTCATGAACAGTGAAATTTACAGAGATTCTACTTGATGAATAGACTTTTTTTTAATAAAAAGTTACTACCGCACAATAAAACTAAATAACTAGCCTGTATGAACAAGAATCTTTTGAATCACATGTCAAGCATGCTCAGATGGCCAGAAACTCAAATATAATCAAGGAAAATCCTCCCCAAATGAACATTATACGAAATGCCAGGATGGATTCAAACATCTGTCATCTGTATAAGAACTCTAATAAAGTACGACCAAAAATCCATAAACTGAAACTGAATTCCAAGCCCTTTACAACAAAATTTGCATAAGATTGCATTAAAAACTTTAGTTCCAAAAAATAAAACTTAAGCACGGGAGATGTTTTGACAAGAAAACTTCTGCACAATCGTTACTCACAAATTTAAACATAAAAAAGAAGAAAAAACCCACAGAATACTACTAAGCACTATAATTTTAGCATGGGATTCAAATGCTAAAGGAAACTCAAAACAACAGCAAACCCTACTACTGATATTATGGTAGATTATACCAACGGAATTAAAAAGATATTGGCTTGATTAACTGAAAAGCAAATTTGAAGCATTGGGATTAGAATCCAGAGAGGAGTGAAACATACATACCGTAAGAGAAGAGATGATTTGCAGAAGAATGAACAACTTCCTTAATGGAGTTTGAGTCAGATACCGATAACTCAAAAAGAAAAAGAAGGGGGCGGGTTTGAAATAACCATATTTTGGGTCATACTAAATTATTGAATATCAAGCCATATTTTCACCGAATAGACCAAAATACCCTTCATCAAACCATATTTTCAACTCAGGCCAGGGTAGGTATTTCGTAATCTTACTTAATTAAAGGGACACTCATTTAAACCCCCAAGATTTGCCTACTTAAGTTTCAGTAATAAACTCTACACCCGCCTGTTACCGGTAGGACTATTTCGTTCGTTTTAATAGTAAAAAGGGTAAAGGGAAATGATAATTTTTTTTTATAACTATTAATAATTAATGAAAGGGTTAGTAACAGTAATCCCCCCAATAATGCTACGGACACTAGGATTTTTGCACCGAAATATTATACCGGTCTACGTGTAACACGTCTCTGATTTTTTTAACAATTTTTTTCTAGTGAACGACCGTCCATCAAATTTGGACGGTCGTTCACTCACATGGACGCCCGTCCATATTATATGGACGAGGGTCCATATATCAGGGACAGGCATCCCCAATTAAAGGACGCCCATCCATAAGTAAAATTGAATAAATTTTTTTTATAAAAATTAGGGACGGCCGTCCCTTATTCAAAATATGAAAACAAAAAAAGAAAAAAAATTGGGGACGGCTGTCCATACATTTTGGACGGCCGTCCCTTAAGTTTGGACAGGCGTCCATTAGGAATGGACGGCCGTCGAATGGACGCCCGTCCAAACTTTAAAAAAAAAAAAAATCAAAACATTCTAAACACCTTTCTTCTTCGATCTTCTTCTTCGTCTTCATTCCCCATCTCCTCTCTTTTTCTTTGTCTTCATTCCCCCAGCCTCACCTTCCTTGCTGGGGATGCACTCTTCCCTCTTGGATATGAACACATTGTATCCCACACACCCTCTGACCTTGTACCTGAAACCTGCATCCTTCGTGTGATTGCTGAGATCGCCCGTGCTGTGGGATCAACTGGCATGGCTGCCGGGCAGTTCCTTGATATTGAAGGTGGGCCTAATTCTATTGAATTTATGCAAGAGAAAAAATTCGGTGAAATGGGTGAGTGCTCTGCAGTGTGTGGAGGATTGTTGGCTGGTGCAGAAGATGATGAAGTGCATAAATTGAGGAGGTATGGAAGAGTTGTTGGGGTATTGTATCAAGTGGTTGATGATTTGTTGGATGCGAAAACACAGAGTGAGGAAGATGAAGAGAAAACAAAAAAGAAGGGGAAGAGTTATGTTGTTGTTTATGGCGTTGACAAGGCTATGGAGGTGGCTGAGGAACTCAGAACCAAAGCTAAGAAAGAATTGGATGGGTTCGAGAAGTATGGTGAGAAAGTGGTGCCACTTTATAGCTTTGTGGATTATGCTGCCGACAGAGGATTTTCTGTTGGTGATTCAAGTTGATACAGTTTTCTTTGTGCATCACACTGCTGAGAAGGGGCTGAATATTATTGTTTTAAGTTCATTAAGGATTTTTGTTAGTGTTGATTGCAGTGAATACTCTCAGAGTTTGATACATAGTACACGTTTGAATCATTAAAGCCGACTCATATAGAATGTTTTTCCATTGAAAATGGAGATGTCAAGCTTTGTAATTGGATTTAGTTGAATGTTTGTAGCTGTTCTTCAACATTGTAAGTCTGTTGCTTAAAGTTAGAGGAAGAGCCCTTGTCCACCCAAGTGGAATGCCTGAGAATACATTATGGGCCATGTTGATACTAGTAAAACAAAGCTGCTGGATTGTATCCGAGGTACTAATGTTCAGGAAGGTGAGGCTGGGGGAATGAAGACGAAGAAAAAGAGAGGAGATGGGGAATGAAGACGAAGAAGAAGATTGAAGAAGAAAGGTGTTTAGAATGTTTTGGTTTTTTTTTTTTAAAGTATGGACGGGTGGCCATTAGGAAGGACGCCCGTCCGAACTTAATGGACGGCCGTCCAAACTTAAGGGACGGCTGTCCCCAAATTTTTTTATTTTTTTATTTTCATATTTTGAATAAGAGACAATTTTTATAAAAAAAAATTATTTCATTTTAGTTATGGACGGGCGTCCTTTAATTAGGGACGCTCGTCTCTGGTATATGGACCCCGTCCATATAATATGGACGGGCGTCCATGTGAGTGAACCTAGAAAAAAATTGTTAAAAAAATTAGAGACGTGTTACACGTAGGCCGGTACAATATTTCGGTGCAAAAATCCCGGTGTCCGTAGCATTATTGGTAATCCCCCTCAGGTATAAATAAATAACATCCCCTATAATTATATAAATAACAAAAATTTCCCAAACGTTAATTTTTTTGGTGTTAAAATAAATGAAGAGGGGCAATTAAGCAAATATTATCATTCTATTTAGTTATAAAATCTAACAATACACTAACAACTCACTAACAGTATATAGATTTTTGTTATTTTTGAAATCTCATAAGAACTCTTTATTTGATTAAACCTCGCGGGCCTAGATAAAACCTCTTAATGAAAATAATAATAATAATAAGAAGGGTAAAAAAAAATTAATAACAATAATCCGGTATAATAAATAACAAAAATTCCTTTGTAGTTAGAGAAATAATAGAAATATTCCTCTTCTTAATTTTTGGTGTTAAAATAAATGGCAGAGTGGTCATCGAATAAATATTCAGTCACTTGTCACATTATAAACTCTAACATAATACCAACAGCTAACCAAGGTAGGATGAATTTTATATTTGAAATATTAGGGGGACTTTTGTCATTTGATCAAATCTTATGCGGTGGAGAACAAAACCCCTAAGGGTGTGTGTGGTTCAGTTACTGAAAATATTATATTAATGAAAATATAGATTACCTTGAAGGTTATTGGGAATATGTTTGATTGGTTGTAATAAATTAATGGGTATGTTATATTAATATATTTGGTTGAGAGGAATAGATTGGTGGGTATGTTATTTAAATTACTAAATTGCCCTCTTATTAAATATTATTATTTAGATTATTAATATAACCCCCTACATTTAAAAACTTAGTAAAAACAACCGCATAATAAAAGTTTGAAAAATAAACGAAAGCACCCCCACCAACTCAGTCACCACTGGCAGCCGACAACCCAAAGGCACGCAGTCGATTGGAAATGGTCTTTGTGCACCGATATGGCCATTTTCGGCAAGATCTATGGTCGAAAATGGCCAGATGGTAACAGATTTGGCCGGGAAACGGCCAAATCTAATTTGATAGGAAAACGGCCAGATCAAATCTGGTCGTTTCTGGTCAGATCTGTTGATCTGGCCGTCGATGCACAAAGTCCATTTACGACTAGTCATGCGCTGTTACGGTGGCGGCTGTTGGCCTCCGATGGTGGTGGCTAGCGGCGATAGGTGGTGGGGGTGATGGCTTAGGTGGGCTACAATTTGTTTTGAATTCAAGGGTAATTTTGTCCAAAAAGTTAATTAATTGGGGTAAAAATATAATAACCAGGTTAATGTAAATTAATTTAAAAACAAGGGCATTATTGTCCTAAAATTTTATTAATAAGGGGTCATTTAGATCGTGAGAATATAAGATAACAGGGGTAATCTTCATTTATTTTGCAAGATTCCGGTGTTTGGTTTACAAGTAATAAAATATTACAGTAATCTTTTATTGCAAATAATGTATACTGTTGGTAATGTAGTGGATAATCTTATTACCTTGCTTGGGGGTGTTATTAAAACATTACCGATGTAATCTGATTTTTCTACCTATTTTGTCCTTAATTAAAAACCATTTCGAACATAATTGCCCTCAAATGTCTACCAAATAACAATTACCCCAGCCGCCTAACATTTGAGAAATTAGCTAAAATAGCATAGCCACAAAAAAGTTTAAAAGTTAACAAAATACACCAAGCCACCCAAGACCATCGCTGGCAGTGACTCATGACTGCCAGCCGCTAGCGTCAGTCGCCGTAATGGTGCACGACTAATGAGATCTGGCCGGTCATACGCTAGTAAGGTCTTTTCCGACCATGAATCACAAATTCATGGCTGAAAACAGCCAAATCTGGTGTTTCTATGGTCGTTTCACGACTAAATATGTGGTCGTGAAATAGCCATAGATCTAGTTGTTTTCTAGCCATGGATTACCATTTTCAACTTTGTCGACACACGACTGACCATATATGTCCAATCGTGTGCCATTCCATCGACTGTCGGCAGTGGCTTAGGGTGGGTGGGTGATTTTGTTACAAATTAAAGTTTTATATGGTTGGGGTGTTTTAACAAAATTTCAAATATAAAGGGTTAAAAAAAATTATTCAAAAATTAATAATAAAAAATATTATTATATTAATATTTAAAAAGGAGGGCAATTTAGTAATCTATATAACATACCCACACATTTATCCTCTCAACCGTTTATATTATTCACCAATTTATTCTAACCAACCAAATAATTTTTTTAAACATTCCTAGTAATCTTCAAGGTGATTTTTCTTTATGTTAATATAATATTTTCCTATAATAGAACATTATATGATCCAAATGCCCTCTAAAGGGTAAAATTGTAACAAAAATAAGATTACCAAGTAATCTTAAAATACCTAAGAAAATGGAGGTAATCAGATTACCTCCTATATTACCAACAATAACTACTATGAATGCGTTTGGTTCAAAGAATGTTGTATTACTAGGAATATTATATTAATGGAAAAATAAATTACCTTGAAAATTACTAGGAATATTTAGGGAAATATATTTGATTAGGTTAGAATAAATTGATGGGTATGTTATATTGATATGTTTAGTTGGAAGGTAAATGGTGGGTATGTTATATAGATTACTAAATTACCCTCCTTTTAAAATATTAATACAATATTACTTTTATTATTATTTTTTGAATCATTTTTTAAACCTCTACATTTGAAATTTTGCTAAAACATTCCAACCATATAAAATTTTAATTTATACTAAAATCACTCTCACCCACCCTAAGCCACCGCCGGTAGCCAACCACCAAAGTTGGTGCATCCGTTAGTCTCCGGAATGACACACAATTAACCAGATCTGACCATGAAAAGGCTAGGTCTTTGGCCGTGATCTAGTTATTTTCGGCCAGATCGAAGGCCAAAAACAGCCAGATTGACGTATGGACAGTCAAATCCCCCTGGTCGTGCGCCGATATGGCGACTGCGGCCGTCGGTGGTCTTGGGTGGCTGGAGATATTTTGTTAACTTTTAAACTTTTTTGTGGCTGGGGTGTTTTAACGAAATTCTCACATGTAAGGGGTCTAGGCATTGTTATTTGGTGGACATTTGAGGTCAGTTTTGTCCGAAATGATATTTAATTAATAGTAAAATAGGTATAAAATAATATTACCTCACTAATCTTTTAATAACACCCCCTGTCAAAGTAATTTGATTACCCCTATATTACCATCAGTAAACACTATTTGTAACAAAAAATTACCATAATATTTTATTTCTTGCAAACCAAACAAGAGAATCATGAAAATTAAACGAAGAGTACCAAAGTAATATTATTTTACCCCATTCCAAATGCAGCCTATTAGTATTGGAAGATTACAAGAATCTTATATTACTTGACAATTAAACGTGGTAATCAAGTAATATAAGATGACATTACTTCAGTAATCCCATACAACCCCCAATCAAACATACCCTATAAATAAAATTAAAATACTTGTGACGATGTGCAAGGGGAAGGGTTGGTCGGTCGGTTAGGCATAGGAAGGATGAGGGCAATTAGGTCATTCGCTCTTGTCACGTTAAAACTAACCATAAATTAGTAGCGGCAGGGGGTGTAGAGAGCTTATTGATACCTCAGGGGTTTAGCCAATATGGGAAAACCTCGGGGGTTTATCCACTAATAAATAAGCTATTTTTTATTTTAATTTTTTTGTCCTCTCTTCTCGTCTTCTTTTCACCGTATTTTTCATTTCCCTTCCCACTCCTCCCCCTTTGCCCCTTCTCTTTTCTTTTTTTCTAAAACTGCGTCTAAATTCTAAAAATAACGAAACCTTGATCTAATCTAAAACTAAAGCATTCCTTCTCTTTAAGTCGCCACCGCTGGAGCTAAACAAAAGCAAGTCGGCGAAGAAGTCAGGCGACGTGGCTGCCACATGAAGGTATCGTGGTTCATTTTTTTTGCTTTTTAAGTTTTGTAAGCTTCAAATTGACGACTGTTGGTTTATGATGACGAAGTGCTCTTTAATGCCATATGATGTTGACTTGATATCATGATTGAATTGATTTCGTTACTGGCTGTTGATGTATTTGAGAATAGTTACAATTAGTAGTTCTGCTTATGATGCTTACAGCCTAGGGTTTCTGATTTTGTTAAATTCAACTGTGACTTTGAACACTTGATTGAACTCTTTGATTTTGTTAAAGAAATAATACTTTTTGAACTTCAAAACCATCTATTATCTAAAATGAAAATGTTTGTGCACACTGACACCCATGCTGATGCTCCTAGTCACATGTTTGATCATTTCTCTGACG